TAAAAGACATCCTTGACACTGTTAGATCAAAGAAAAGTCCTATAAAATCTAGGAAAACTCTTAAATCCGTGAAACACTGTCCTAGTCACCCCAATGTAACTCTTAAGTTCTATTGTGAGAGCTGCAGTGACGTTGTGTGCGCGGAATGTCATGTAATCAGCCACAATGGACACACGTTTGTCGGATTAAAACGAGGACTTATCAAGATAGCAGAACATAGAGTATCGACGTTACAAAATACAATAGCAGACACAAAGGAGTATTTTGATAAGAAATCAGAAGAAGCCAAAGAAAAACTTGCCATCGCAAAGCAAGCTCGAATCGATGAAATCAATAAGAAACTAGAAGAAGAATCAAATAAGGGTGCTTCTCAATGGTTGCCTTGGCGAAATTTGGGTAGTACAAGTAGGAGACAAAAACAAATAGATTTGATTAAAATGTGTTATGATTCACAAACAGCACAAGTAGTAAGGATAAAGCGTGTTACAAAAAGATACAACACGAGTAAGATTCAAGCGTATAAAGATCAAATTCAGTCAGAAATAACCATAACCCAAGATATACTGAAACAACTGAACTCTGATCAAAAATTTGACGATCCAGAAGACAGCATACGATTTTTTCAAGAACTAGCTGAGAACGTACAAGAATGGAAGAAAACCCCAATAGCTGATATTAGACCAGAACTAGCCATTCCAAAGTATGTAGATGGTGATTCTACAGAGGCAGGTCTAACATTCGGTAGAATATTATCCACGGGGAATATTGTGTTGAAACAAGTTAAAATAGAGAAATTGTGTACAACTACTCCCAAGATCTTTAACATTACTATATTAGAGAACAGACGTGTAGTAACTGCTCACGGCAAAGCTGGTATTAACATTCATGATCCCACCACTTATGTTATTAAGCATCACATTGATATGAAATGCTACCGACTTACATCAATAGACAATCAAATAATATGTGTAGAATATAAATTTGATGCCACTGTTAGCATTCTGAGTGATGAAGGTGAGCGTATAGGATCAGTAGATTGTGTGAAGTCAGTGCATTGTGTAGCAGCAGCTCAAGGAGGAGAATTGGCAGTAATACATGGAGGCAGTAAAACACATTACAAATTATTATTCATTAACATTGAGGAGAATAGAATAATATCAACATGTGATGTAAAAAATGATGGAAATGTAACTAGAATGTCAATCACCTCTAATAATGAAGCAATCATTTCATACGGCAAAGATAACATCGTCAGGTGTTATAATTCCGATGGAGAGGAACTATTTACATATGATCCGAATACTCAGGGAGGACATAAGCTTCATGCAAGAGGAGTGTGTAGTGATGTATTTGGAAATGTGATAGTAGCTAGTTGCGACACCAACACAGTTCATCTGCTCAGTTCCGCTTTGAATTGCCGTCAATTGCTAATAAGAGAACATGAAGGCATCGAGTGGCCTTATGATGTTGCAATAGACAATGAGGGGAATTTAATTGTAGGATGTTTTTTGTCTGGTGAGGTCTACCATGTAAAGTACCTAGAATGAGGTGACTAAAGAAGTAAGAATGGATGATTAACAGGAACGAATTAACTGTGGTAGTGCGTATTTTGATTCATTCAATTTGATTTTTCAATTACGTGCTAGTATTTGATTAAAATCTACGCACACGTGATAATTTTTATTGAACAAAATCAGTTAAACAGGCAATGCGCCTATTTTTGAAGGAAAAAGGACAAAATATTATTTGAGACATGTTACTCACACAGTCAATCAAATATGATAAAAACTTTAATTTGGGATAATACTGAAGTGAAAAAAAAAATATTCGCATAGAAAACGGCATTTGAAGTTCAGAGATTGAAAAAAGTGAATTACCACTTTTCACAATGAATGGATAATCAATGCAAATAACAATGCCATCTTAGAGGGCCTCCTTCAGATACCACATCTAGTAATACTCTTCTGGTGGGGTCTTCACTCCTAAGGGACATAGATGAAACCTGCCTCGACACCAAACATGTTGATATTAAATGCATTAGTGGTGGTACCATTTCAGATGCCCAGAAAGCCCTCATGAATAATGAATCCTATGATAAAGTTATATTGCAAATTGGAAGCAATGACTGTGCCAAAGGTGACCCAGCTAAAAACATCGTGGACGATTACAAACTTCTTCTGTCTGGAGCGAAGGCCATTTCTAAAGATGTTTCCATCTCAAGTATCTGCCCCCGTACAGACAATAAAGAAGCCCATGAAAAGGCCCAGGCAGTAAACGCTGAACTACAAGTTCTGTGTGAACATACTGACAATACATCATTCATTAACAATGACAATACGTTCATTCTGCAAGACGGTACTATCAACGATGGCTTCCTGAATAGGGATGGTCTCCATCTCAACCCAGCTGGCACTAACCGTCTGGTGCATAATATGGGACTTACAAAATCGCTTAAGAGTGTCACAAAGCCCTTCAATCAGTATAAGAAATCTAAAATCCCAAATCCCATTCCCAGACCTAATGGCAATTCCAATTCCAACAGCAGTAAGCCAACATCATATGCCAATGCAGTAAAGTCCCCTCGACCAAACCTTAAGCCAGTTTGCTTCAAATGCGGGGAAGCTTCTCATTTAGCCAGTACATGCTGGCATCCCAGCCCTGTCAGGTGTTATTTTTGTAAAAATTTGGGCCACAAGACAGCAAAGTGCCCCAACAAAGACCATCAACCTATTGAAACATCCAATAGTTATTAGGTCCTTGGTGAGGTCAGCGCCTTATCCCTGAATACAATTCTAAATGACATCATCCCCAATACCCCCCAGCCAGGTAGAACTAAGCCTAAACACCGTAGATCTAGAAAACATAAGGTTAAACCAGCCAAAACCTTCAGAATAATGTATAACAATGTCCAAAGATTAGGAATATCGAAACAAAATCTACTTAAAGATCTATTAGAAATTGAAACATATGATGTATGTGCTATAACTGAATCAGGCTTTAATGATACCAACCAGATAACAGTGTTTAGCAATAGTCATACATGGCTGGGAAAAGACAGACACTCGAAAAAAGGTGGAGGAATAGTTTTTTTTGTACATAACGATACTGATATTATTGATGATAACTTACTCTCTTCTAAAGATGATTTATTTGAACGTTACTGGATTAAAATCAAAACCGGTAAATCATATTTAAATCTATGCCTTGTTTATTTCCCAAATGATGGGAGAAACATGATAGAATGCTCAGACCTGACTGATGAATTAGTACGCAACATAGCTTCCCTTGATCCAAATGAAAAAACTTTGATTTTGGGGGATTTCAAAGGGAAAATAACCCAATTTAGAAAGAATAGTTCAAAAAGTCCAAATGGGGACCAGATTGAATTATTATGTGAGGTGTCAAATCTGGGCATTCTTAATCTCTCCCATAAATGCTCGGGTGAAGTAACATGGCAAAGGAATGATTTAAAATCAACTATTGACTATGTTCTTCCCTGTCTCAAATCTATGTTAATTGACGAAGACCACAACATATCTCTTGGTAGTGACCATGCAGTCTTCATTTTAAAATTTTTGTTTCAAGACGACAGGGTAGTTCATTCCCATAATGATCGAATAACAATGTAAAAAGACAGTGTCCAAAATGGAATATCTCAGATTCTACCGACTGGTCAGCTTTTGAAAGTAAACTACAGGCATCTTTAAAGGGTTGGGACCCGGAAACATTGGCAGATCCAAATGATATCTGGGAAAGTTGGAAATCAAAAGTCCTAAATGTTGGGATGGAAGTTGTTGGGGAAAAATCATTTAATCCAAAGTCAAGGTCATTCTGAAATGAGGAACTGAAAAGACTACTGAAAAAATAGAAAAGATGCCTGTAGATTACACAGATATGTCTGTAAATTTGATCCAGATCCAGATACACTAAAGGATATTTGGAATGTTTACCTTGAACGAAAGAGAAAGATGTCAGATTACATTAAAGAACGTCACATTAATAACCACCTCAATATCCTAATTAAAAACTCATTTAAGAAGTCAACTAGTTCGAGATCCTTTTGGAAGACGCTCAAAATGTTTAATGCAAAAAGTAAATACCCCATTGAAATAACTGACCCTAATAATCCCGAAAGAACAGTTAGTGACCCGAAAGAAATATCTCGTTTGCTTAAAGAATATTGGCAAAAGGTTGGAAAGGTAAATAGAAACAATGAAAACTCTAAACCACCTTTGAACGATTTATTATCCAAATATGAAAATTAGACCAATTTTGGAAATGGAACATTATCTCATATAAATTTCTCATTTGATGATATTTTGACTAATATTAAATAGACTAAAAACAATAAATCTTGTGGTACTGATAGAATCCAAAATGAATTTTTGAAATATGGAGGTGTATCAATAGTGAACTCTTTGAATTCAATGTTTCAATATTTCATGTCCAGAGAGACTTTTCCTAATGAATGGAGGGATGGACTTTTAAAGCCAATTCATAAAAGCAATTCTTTAAAGATTCTTGACAATTACAGAGGAGTGACTGTTACATCAAATGTATACAAACTATTTGCATCTCTTATGGAAAACTCACTTATGAACTTCTTTTTAAAAAATGAGACATTTGATGAACTCCAGGGAGCCTTTTTAAATGGGAAACGCTTGGAAGATAGCATCTTCCTACTAAAGGGCTTATGTAGTATTAGGAAAGATAAAAAACTAAAGACATTTCTGGGCTTTTTGGACATTAGGAAAGGCTTTGATGTTATTGACAGGGATCTTTTATTTTGTAAATTGTGGGAGAAAGGTATTTGTGGGAAACCATGGAGGATTTTGAAACTTTTATATTCAGGGATAAGAAATAAAGTAATTTTTGGAGATTTTGAGAGTGAGTTTTTTTAATCAGAATATGGTGTCCGACAAGGATGTGCCCTCTCGCCGACTCTATTTCTTGTTATAATGAATGATCTTACAGAAAGACTCAAATATGAAAATTTAGGAATCCCTTTAGGTGGACAAAGAATCCCTGCCCTTTTATATGCTGATGACGTAGTACTTTTAGCTGAATCAGAACATCAGTTATCCAAAATGTTAAATGTTGCTAATGAATTCTCTGTATACTGGGGGTTTCAGTTTGACACGAAAAAGTCCAAAATAATGCCAGTAGGTCGAAAAATCAATCCCAATGCATCATGGAAACTAGGCCATTTGAATCTCACTGAAACTAAAGTCTACAAATACCTAGGAGTTATTATAAGTAACGATCTAAGTGATACAGCACATTTTAAGGAACTTTTAAGACCCAAAGCTAAGAAAATAAGCCTCTATATTAATTCAACCCTTAACAAGCACTCTAATATACAACGATTTAAATTTGGCGATACTCTTCACAATAATGTGTTCATTCCAGCAATATTACATGGTTGTGGTATTCTTACTTTTTAATCGAAATCCAAATGTAACGATATGAATTCTTTCCAATATAACATTGGAAGATCAGTTTTTAATCTAAATATGAAGCCTGCCAGGGAAGCAGTTATTGGTGATTTAGGATGGCGTCCGATTTTGAATACCATTGACAAAAGAATAATAGATTATTACCTTCATCTACAGAAGCGCATGGAAAAAAGTACACTTTTTAGAAATATATTTATGGAAATGTTTAAGCGTTTCGAAGAGAACTACCTCCAAGATGACATCGATTTCTATTGCTCCAGGTTAAAATTCATGGCAAGAACTGGGTGCTTTAACTTGGAGGAGGATAATAAACGATGGAAGAAAAGTGATGGAATTTGCCCTCATTGTAAAAGTAATGACATTGAAGATTTCATTCACCGATTCATTGTATGCCCTAAGTTCATTAATGAAAGGTTACAATTTATAAATGATATAACTTCAAAATGTGACGCTCTTTTAGTAGCTGAATTCATCTCTCTCTCTCCTGAGGCGAAGCTAAAATACATGTTAGGGGATGATGTCTTTGAAATTTGGGGGAAAGAACAAGGTAGAATGTTTGACAAATGTTTTAAAAGGTTTTTAAAATCAGTTTATATTAAATACTCAAAATGAATGTTTTTAGCAAGTTGTAATAATTGTTTTATCTTAACATGTACATTCGACGCACCTTTGCATTGCAGAGCGTGCCACTGTTTCAAAAGTGTAGATCGAAATAAATAAATAATAAATATGGCATTGCTAAAAACTTGACACATATAAATTGATAGATCAAAAATATTTTTTCATGATCTAGTGTCAAGTCTGATGTGGTCTGTTTGATCTATTTTTGGTGTCAACTGAAAGTTTAGGTACTTATTTATCCATTGGAAATACTATGAAGATCAAAAGGGAGACTTCATTTCAGCACTTTGTCCCTTTAAGAAGTCTAAATTCTAGTTCAGACGACATCTTTTCCATTCTACAAATAGATGAGCAATTATAAAATTTACAAAAACCGTCTGTATCAAAATTAACAAATAACCCTCAAAATAATCAGAGTAATGCGTTACCGTACGTGTAATATTCTTTCTTCTTTCATCTCAACTTCATTCATGCGTTACTAATTTATAAATAAAATAGAATCATGATGGTTTACTCATTGAGATGTCGCCATGTGCATGTGCGTTTTATCCAAGCATTTCTGTTTTTGAAATATTCAACGGATGTTTAATTCTCATTTATTCTCATTGTAATTTTGAAATCGCAAAATAGAAGAAGCGGCTTAGCGTTGCCTTAGATATTGGTAATATAGGATTTATTTGTACTTATGCCCTATTAATTGAAATGTTGATTTCATAAGCTATTGACTTTTATCATCGCTTTCCGTAAATCGAAAAAAGGAGCTAAGAGGCAAGCAGAAAATTTCTGCTAGAACATTCAACAAATCTAAAAGATGCATTTTTGTCAAGATGATGAATCGCTAAGTGACAAAATTTTGAATTATGTATACGTTGGTCAAAGATGGCGTAGTCCTAATCGAGATATGAGCATGTCTGATCAGAATAGATGGCGTCTACAAATGTAACGACATAAAAAATCTGTGCTGAGGGATATGTGAATTTTGTCTTAAAGTCGTGACCATTTAAAAAGAGAATGAACCGTTTAGTCCCTTTTTGAAAACCCAAAAACGTAAAAACAGCAGTGAATTTCATGAATTTCAACCGTCAATGTTTTATTATCATATTAGATTTACAATATTTATACAAAGTATATGAATATTTCATCAAACCAGATAAAGGTAAAATCATTTTATCAATACATATTCATGTTGATGTCTAGTAAAATTGTGTTTCTTCTTATCGTATAGAATTTTCTATGTAGCTTCTAACTAGACTTACAAATAAACTATTCTCGGATAGAAATTTCTATACAAAATATTCCATTGTCTTTCCGTATAGAAATTTCTATGCAGATGACTCTGGAAATATCAATTTTTGTCATTTTAATTGGTTATCGGTATAGAAATTTCTATGTGAAGGCCGTCGGAAAATAATAATTATGTTACTGGTAAAACATTTCTCCTCGTATAGAAATTTCTATATTGATAAAGTCAAAAATAAAAATTGAAACGCTTCATAGAAATTTCTATATATATGGGTGCATATTTAAATTATGTTTGCTGGTATAGAAATTTCTATAAGGATAGAGTAGAAAAATCAAAATCGAAACGCTGTATAGAAATTTCTATGTGGCCCAGAAAAATTATTTTCATAGATTGCCTGCTGTATAGAAATTTCTATATGGTCAAAAATATAAATTGAATGCCTATATAGAGATTTCTATGCGGGTGTAGTCGAAAACCGTTGGTGCTCAAAAATTAAGTTTGTCCGTATAGAAATTGCTATATGGATAAATTCAAAAAATTAAAATCGAATAATTATATAAAGAATGTTTGTAATTAGTCTTAAATTTTCGGCCTATTGTAATAGTATTTGAAATAGTATTTGAAAATATTTGGAGGTATAGCCAATGCAGTCAATTTACATCACAGCCAGAAAAATTATTGATTTACATGGT